GAACTGAATTGGTTGGCATCTTGATCTGAGATTCTTAGCCTCCAGAACTGTGAATTTCTGCTGTTTAAGGCACCCAGTCTGCAGTATTTTGTTACAGCAGCCTGAGCTGACTAATATAGGTGGGGAAGCTGGGAAGTACGCATTTCCAAAAGACACATTTCTACCATGCTGAAGAAAGAATACTGAAAGGATGAGATAAGTAGTGAGAGTCCTAGAAACACCCATGCTTCAGCTATTCATACACAGAACAAAAATTAGAATGCTGTAAGAAGCATTCTTCTTTATTCAGCTTCGTACTATGCATGTATTAGTATTATACTAAGAAAATGTTTCTGAATAACTACAGTGCATATAGTATATTACTAAGTGTCCTATACATACTCATTTTTCTTTCTCAGCATGTTTAATAATCACCTATAATAAACACCTATTTCTACCAGTTAAAAAGCCTAATTTGGAAACCAATTATCATAAATTTATTATTGAAGCTGGGCTGCTGCAGATTTTGGAAATGAGAACAAAGTTTCTTGAAAAATAAACTGATGTTCAAAATTGCTTCTTGAGAAATGTATCTTTTTGTTTGCTTTTATATCTTTCAATCCTGTGAAGTGATTCTGTTAACAGAGGTAAAACAAAAAAGACTCTTAACTCCTCACCCATGCCAGGGCGTTCTGGTCTATTTCTTCTTACTCTGTTTCAACTAAATTGCACAGAATTCTTTTAAAAACAAACAAACAAAATAAACCATTTTGTGATAAATGGTTTATCACATTTATTGATAAAATAAACCATTGTGATAACATCAGGATAGAATCGTGGAAAAATGACCAACTTGGAAAGATGTGTTTTTCACAGAAACAGAAAAAATGGTTAATCACATACTCATTTCCCAAAGTAGATATTGTTTTAAGAAAAAGCACTATGGGTAAAGCATCCAATATTAATGCCCATAAATGTTTTAGCTAAGTGCACTCACTGAGGTAAATGCCCTGGAAAGAGATGTAATAAGTCAAACAAAGACATCAGCCTTTAGTCATCAGAATAATACTGAGAGCTTTTTTTTTTTTTTTTTTTTAGCAACTCCCCAGAGGGAAAATGATGGCCTCCTACAAGAGGTCAAAAAAGGTGGTCACATAATCTCAGAATTCAAGGAGACAGTGTACACAAGATGTTGCTCTCCACGTTGCCAGAAATTGCCAGCTTTGGGGAACTTGTACGTAACTCCATCAAACAGGCCAGTTCTGCAAACCTGAAGCACACTAGCTGCAGTTGCAGCCACAGTGTAATTCTTTTCATCATTCCTGTATTCTCTGTGTCTATTTGCATTTGTGTTCTCCAAGTACATCTTTTTTAAACATTCCTGCTATGAGAAACCAATAATGGCTTCCTTTTTTTAAAGTACCTAACTTTGTTTAGGGTAAATGATAGGGTTGTGGTTTCCTTATATGGTTAAGCAGAAAACTCAAGAAATACTGCTTTGGTTGGTTCCTGGCTGAGACATCTACCTGAAATTAACTTAAACAAGAGAAGATTATTAGCCACTGGAAGGCAACCAAGTCTAAGAACAGGTATGGATGTGGGCATCAGAAACTAGAACTAGGAACTGAAATGATTCTAGGTCCTCTGTCCTCAGTGTTTACTTCATTTTTTTAAATTCTTATTTATTGGTTTTAGAGAGGAAGGGGGAGAAAGATTAATTTGTTGTCCCATTCATTTATATATTCACTGGTTGATTTTTGTATGTGCCCTGACCAGGGATCAAATCTGCAACCTTCGCATATCTGGATGATGTTCTAACAAACTTAGCTGCCCAACCTAAGTAACTTCATTGTTTTAAAAAACAAACTGGGATAAAGACTGTTAGTTGCCAACTAAATATCCAATCTCAGCCCTAGCCTGGTAGCTCAGTTGGTTAGAACATCCTTCTGATACATCAAGGTTGCAGCTTCAATCCCTAGTCAAGGTACATAGAACAATCAACTAATAAATGTATAAATAAGTGGAAAAACGAATCAATGTTTCTCTCCCTTCTCCTCTCCCTAATATCAATAGGAAAATAAATAAATAGGTACCCAATCTCCCCTTCTCATTAAATAGAACTCCAATTTTGTTTGGTAATATGTCCAGCTAAAACATTTCTCGGCCTCCCTGAATCCAGGCATGATCATGTGACAAAGGTTTGGCCAAAGAGATAAGCTGAAGTCTTTGTGTGGGGCTTCTAAAGCTCCTTAAAGAGCTCACTTAAGTCAGCATGTGCTCTATCACTGATCCTTCTTCCTGTGGAAAAACAGAACAGTTGGAGCTGCAGCAGCCATCTTACAATAATGAAAGCCATACACTAGGGGTAACAGAGCCAAAAGATGGAAGTCACCTAGGACATGAATGAAATTGTGAGCCTGTCCTACCTGCCCTCATCAGCTCAAAATCCCTGCTCTGTGCCAAGTGCACAGAGATGAGTTGAAAAACATAGTTCCTTTCTCAGAGCTAACAATAGACATACCCCACATTTATTGCACACTGGGTACGTGTCAGAAACCATCCTTTGCGCTTTACATGCATTAGCATTAATTGTGTGCTCTAGATAGCATTCATTTATAGAGATGAGGATACAGACTTGGCAAGGTTAGCTACCCATGGTAATCCAAGGCTGGAAGCTGGGTCTTCTGACTCCATCATATGTGTGATTAACTACAATGCTATACTGGTTCTTGGCCTTATCAAAAATTCAAATTGGAATTCCAATTCAAAGGAATGAAACTCCCGATGAACATAAGTACACAGAACATTGGGAGCAAAAAGGAGAATGTCAAAGTTTCCAGCAGATTCCAAGGAGCTTTCCCAGGGTGTTGAGTGTGCATGCACCATGCAGCAGCAGTTATATGGTCAGTGAAAATAGCAGAGTTTGGATCTCAACCATAACGTGGAAGAGACAGATGTTAAATAGGTAGATTACAAATTATGTAAAAAGAACAACATAAAACTGAATATGGAACTGGAGACTGTACTGACCCCTCTTTTAAGCTTCACTACAGGGGATGCAAGTCTATAAGGTAGTGACATCTGCATACATTGCTATTAACAGTATATTGAAGCTATGCCAGTAAATATTTAACTAAATACCTGGTAAGACAAAATATACTAGAAAGACCATGAACTTTAAAGAATTAGATAAAAGTGGGTCTGAAACCTTATGCTGCCATTTATTTATAGCTTTGTGTAACCTGCAAGCCCTCTCCAAGCTTTAGTTTTATTTCATCTATAAATATGGTTTAATTTCATTTAGAAGAGCTACAGAATACAAACGTAATTTGTAAATAGTACTAATTTTAACAAATTTCATTTAAATACACCTCCCTCCCATCATGTTTATATTAATGGGATAATATCATGGAATTTCTTCTATTTAGTAACAGATACTACGGCCAAAAGGAAAATGTGTGGTAAGATAAAAAAAGAGATTAGTAGGATGGTTGTTTTGTTTCCTGACAGCCACACTTTCTATCCAATATTTCCTATGGACTCTGTTCTATGGACTTTCGGTTAGTCTTTGAAATCTATCAATAATAGTAACTCCTAAATGCTAAGTGCAACAGACATTTTCACAGGATTCTCAAACCCTTTCCAGCAATCTTGCCTCTCATCTACTTTCCCATCTCCTCTCCTGCTTACAATGCAGAATTGTAAGGTGAAAGGCAAATAAAACTAAGTATCTTAAGCATTTAACCTACTTTTACTTTATCCAAGCTTGCCATGTCAACATTGCCCAAACAAAAACATTTTGGCATAAAAAAAAAACTTTTGAAAATTGCCTCACTAGGTTACACCAGAAATAGTGCACGTCTCACAATATCAAGACATGAAGGTTGCAGAGATTACCAAGCTGTTTTTCCTTTTACTATACAACAGTATCTCTCACACCATAAAAACATTTCAATCATGTTTATGAAATTCCTTGTAAAATGCCAATAAACATAGCTTGTTTAAAAATATTGTCAGTGACTGCTTTTTAGCTCCAAATCACTGAATTGAACAAGACTCCAGACCATCTTAAAACTTTTTCAGCATTTAGAAGTATCTAATGATATTTATTCCACTCTTTTCAAAAAGAGCGTTCTTTGCTGATGTTAGAGGTGTATCTCGTGGATTGAGCGTCGGCCTCCGAACCAAAGGATAGTAGGTTCGATTCCTAGCCAGGGCACATGCCTGGGTTGCCAGCCAGGTCCCCAGAGGGGAGTGTGCAAGAGTCAACCACTCATTCGTGTTTTTCTCCCTCTATTTCTCCCTTCCCTTCTTTCTAAAAATAAATAAATTTTAAAAAATACACTAACTTTATCAGTTTTATCCAGATATTAGTTTACTATAAAACCCTTACTCATAGGTTTCCCCTAAATCTGATGCACCTAGACTCTAATCTTTATATAGTATTACAAATGTACACCTTGAAAAGATGACAAAGTCTAACTCCTTTAAGTTCCCTTAGAAGACAATTTTTAAAAATGAACTATTTAAGGAAAGTTACACATTATATGCATTAAAGTAACACAATAAAAACCCACTCTGAATGTGAACAAAGGACAAGTACTGAATTATTTTACAGCTGTACTAAAGCCAAATTCTAAACTAGATTCTATCCAATATTTAAGTATACACTCACATAGCTGAGAAAGAGAAAGAAAAGAAACTTGAACCCCATGAGCCAAAATTAGCCTGCTTCCGCTAACCTCAGGCTTTAGCATATCCCAGGACACAGTACGGTCAGGGGTGGGACTTCAAGTGTCAAAGCTGACTAAAGCTGAACACCATCAACTAAAGCTGAACACCATCCACTGTGTAATTCTGAGCTGCTAAAAATAAAATTTCACTAAAATAATATCACAGTCATACTTTATATACCTTAATGACAAAATAATTTTTTGCTCCTTACCTAAAATTTTTAAGACTGACCAAAACCTGGAAATTATTGGTGTATGTATCCTAGAATGTGATAAAATAAGACAAAGCATGGTAAAGACTGCTTTATTGGTGGCAGTTAGTACAAGTCAATAAATATTGATCCCCAAAGAAGAACTCAGTTATTAATCAGCTTACTGGTCGATAGAGAGCTGAATGAAACTGACCCAACTGATTGCTGGGAGGATAAACTAAAATCAATTCTGCTTCTTGGGAAGTGAGGCCATGGCCAGCTGATATATGGCATATGCTGCTCCTGAAAAATAGAAAGAAACAAAAGGAGAATTTAAATAAATTCTAAGATTTAAATGTATAACCCTAACATTTCAGCTAAAAGTTGTAAGATAAAGGCAAGGCTGGCAATAAGACTACTCTTATGGAACACAAAAAAAATGTTGATAGATACTAGCAAAATTTTAAAAATGTGTATATATATATTTAGTCTAGTTTCAATATTACTTAACTTCTATACAAAGTGCTGGATGCAGCTCAATAATGTATTTGTCAACTTAATAACATGTAAAAAATGTTTAAATATGATTTGGAACACATACTTACCTAAAATTGCCTGAGAAATGCTAAGAATGATTTAAAAGTCAATAAAGAAGTCAAAATACACATGCCTTCCCTAAATTGTATTATTGAGGTAAAAAACAAGAAACAGTGAATATATAACTTTAAAATCATCAAACTTAAAGTAAGAGTGTCTAACTAGAAATTTATTTTTAAAACTAATTACCAGAATGTATAAGAAACAGTTACACTGGACAAAAATAATGTAAGACTTTATCTTAAGAAAGCCCAATATCACTATCTGGTTGTTGCCTTCATCCTTAAACATCCCTTCACTGTATCAACTCATGCCAAAGAAGGCACCTTGGCATGAGCAGCGGGACTTTATAATTAGTGCTCAAATCCCAGCTTTTCCACAGAAAAGCAATATTACCTTGAGTAAAAAACATAATTTCTACATTTTTTTTAAAGATTTTATTTATTTTTAGAGAAGGGAAGGGAAAGGGAGAGAAAGAGAGAGAATCAATGTGTGGTTGCCTCTCACATGGCCCCCATTGGGGACCTGGCCCACAACCCAGGCACATGCCCTGACTGGGAATCAAATCTGTGATACTTTGGTTCACAGCCCGCACTCCATCCACTGAGCTACGCCAGCCAGGGCAATTTCTTCATCTTAAAATAAGAACATATTATGGACTTAATACAAGGGTTACAGAAATCCATATGTGGCATTCCTATCAATAGATAAGCACACAGTAATCACTCTAAAAGTGTTTTCCTTTCTCCCCCAGAGAGCAATCATTCAAATTCCTAACTCTGATCCTAGTATACCAATTTGTGTATTCCACTTGCTAATACTGAATAATGGACCTGCACAACTCACAGGAAAAAAGTCAAAGCATTTTGCATATAGTAATCAGTATTTATATGTACAGGTTTTGTCATAAATATGTGTGTACAGAATTTAGATGAAGATGTTTTTATTATGCATTCCAGTCAAAATGTTTAAAAGCCTATTAGAGTGGAAGGGGTCGGGTAGAGTGGATGTCTCTGGTTCCTCCAAAGGCCTGCAGGGCCACCAGTGGCACAATGGAAAGCCACATCTATCAAAAGACAATCATCAAACTTTATTGATACATTTGTGAAGACATTAAAATGCTGTTACGCAATATGTATCAATCATCTTCTTGAATACTTATATGCAAAGGAGTAAGATCTCATATTCTGTAGACAAGACTAGTTGTGTTAAAATACTGGCCTAAAACAATGCTTTACACAGATGATGTATTATAGAGTCATATGCTTGAAACATATTATCATATTAATAAATGTGCCCTGATTGGTATAGTTCAGTGGATCGAGTACCAGCTTGTGAACCAAAGGGTCACTGGTTCAATTCCCAGTCAAGGCACATGCCTGGCTTGCAGGCCAGATCTCCAGTGGGGGGCATGTGAGAAGCAACCAAACACTGATGTTTCTCTCCCTCTCTTTCTCCTTCCCTTCCCCTCCATTTAAAAATAAATAAATAAATAAATAAATAAATAAAATCTTAAAATAAAAATGTTACCCAATACACAATAAAAATAATATTTAAAAAATACTGGCACAGTAAAAGCAATAAAATTGTTAGCTACCTATACTGTTACTTTTCTATAAATCAAGCATTTCAAATGTCTTACCACCAACTGTAAGAATCATGGTAGCTCTATACAGGAGGGCATCAGCTACCCCACCCTTTAGATGCACTGGAATTCCATTATCCTCCTAGGTGAAAAAAATAATAATAATAAATAATACACATATCATTTGTTTCCAACTAAGTTCAAATGGATAATCTATTCACTTAAAATTAAGTGGCTCCTTCAATCCTTGGAATTAAAATATTTTACATTTCAAAATTAAAAAGAACTCCAATTTTCCTGATTCTTTCTCTACTACTACTTTTAAAATGCAAACTTCTAAAGTCAATATTCTTTATTTTAAACTTAATTTCAGATCCAATAAAGATGTTTTTCCCATAAAACATATAAAATGTAAATGTTAAATGCTATGAAAATATACTCATTGGATTCATCAACATAATTATTAAAAATATTAGTAACCATCACACTTTAGATTCAGTCACAGAAAAGATTCTTTCTTTCTTTCCAAAAAAGAAAAAAAAAGAAAGAAAGAAAACAAAGGGAGTTTTGGTTTATAACCCTAAATCATACCCTTAGCCCTTAGTTCAGCACCTGGCATAGAGAGGTGTTTAATATAACCATTTTACTTTTACATAGTATAGATAATCCACCTTTTTAATCATTTAAAATTTATTTGCAAAAAACTAGAGATCACAATAAAACAAAAAAAATCACTGACCATCTAACTACTCATAAAGGTAAACTACTCTATCCCACTAAGACTATCCTCATGAAAAAACCACTATTAACAGCACTGTACATATCCTTAAAGATTTTTTTATGCTTATAATGGCACATCTTCTAATTTATAGACATGCATGCTTATATACAAAATGAGGTTTGCTATATAATTATCTACCACATATTATTTTTTGTTCAATTCTATCTTGAAAAATATTCTGTTAGTCAATCCTACCTTGTTCCTTTTAATGGCTACTAGCATTCTACTGTGCAAAAATATAATAATTGAATTATCTAGTGCTGCATTAATGCATGTTGAGGTTATTGGGGTTTGGGGATATCAAAATCCCATAATGATTAACCTTTTTCCTGTTTTTAAATACTTGTGCTACTATTTCTGTCGGAAAGATTCTTAAAAGTGGGAGTCCTAGAGAATAGGATACATTGTGATTTGTTTTTAATGATACTTTCAAATACTCTTTAAAACTTTTGTACCAATTATACTACTATCTAACACATATCAAAGTACTGGGATGAATGTACCTATCTCCCAAGCCTTGCTAACATAACCTGTTTTAAATATTTCTAAAATTTTGACAATTGTAGAAAAAAATTAGTAACCTGTAATTTTAATTTGCATTTCAAATTGATTTGTAGAAATTCTTTGTATACTAAGGACATTAACTTTTGTTATATTTTAAAAATTTGCTCCCAATTTGTCACTTGTCTTTTGTAACCATAAATGAATTTAAAATTTTCATGCCACCAAACTTTGCAAATTTTAACCTTCACAGCTTCCTTAGGAAGTTTTCCCACCCCTACAATTATAGTAGTTAATAACACTGTATTGTAGATAGTAGATCTTAAGTGGTCTTACACATCCAAACAAAAAAGTAACTACATGAGGTGACAGATGTGTTAATTAACTCAACTGTGATAATCAGCACAAACACATTAAACATCAGATTGTATACCTTAAAAATCAGGTATAATCTGAATATATACAAATTTTGTCAATCATACCTCAACAAAACTGGAGGAGGGAAATATCTCCTATATTCCCTTCTAATTTTTTTGAGACACATTTATATATCTGCAATTTATATTTGAATATAAAAATAGAAGGGATCTAATTTTTTCTTTAAAACTGTCCATTTTTCCAATACCAATTAATTGTATCCTTCTCCCACTGATATGGAATAGCACCTTTAACATATATTAAATATCTACATATTTTTTGTTTGTTTGTTTCTGGTTCATTCCTGTATTCTATTTGCCTATTCCTGTGTAACTACCATAAGAGTGCCAACCCAATGTAACTCATCCAAAGACCTATATATATACCCTTTCTCCTCCTTTCCTCTGCTTCCTTAAGGGCCTCCTGGATACAGCAAATGCCCATTTAGCTAGCAACAGTTTCTCGTGCAGTTCTTTTGCTAATACAACAGGATATCTAATAATCAGACATGTCCAGGTTTAATTCATATCTCCACTTTTTGGTAATCATATTATTACAAATAACAATCTGTCATAAAATATTTCAGTACCTGAAATAACTTTTGTTTCTCTGAAACTTTATTTTCAAACTGCCTGCGTGAAGCAGTAGTTATGGTCCTCTGAGCGACCTGGCGAAGGGCCTGCAATGTTAAATACATACATATTAAACAGACTTGGGGCTTACAGAAACCTTCTAAATCAACCATGGTTTAATCTTTTAAATTGTAGAAGAGAAAAAGTGAGCGTTAAAACATATTTAGTCACTAACAAAGTTATAAACCAACATCCACGTTTTCCAATTTGTTGTTCATCCTGTTCTTTATATTACATTCTGCAGTGTCCAAAAACCACAATCAAGAAGCAATTCATGCTCATTCTGAGCAAGAAAAAAAAAAGACAAAAAACCCAAATCCCATGAGATTTACCTGAATCGACCAAGCATAATATAATCCCTGAAAAAATCACATTGCTATATATTTCAAAAATAAAAAATGCTTGCAAAACACACTAAGCTCAAATGTTTTCATTTAATACTCTATCATATTAAATATCTACTACTTGATATCAAAATAAACTAGCATTAAAATTGTTTCTCCCATTACATTTTTCCTTAAAAAAATCCTTAAGTCTATAAATTTTTAAAGACTTTCACTACATACCCAGTTGAATCAGTGAAACACACACTTCGCTTTCTAAATATACTAAGAAATTAAGTAAAATCTTACTGAATTATTACAAAAGTGGTCACTGTTACATTTTCCTTTTCTTTTCGAAATTCCGGGAAAATATTTCACATGCTGAAAGTCGGTGGAGGGGTGAAGGACACTGCAGAACCGTCTCAAGGGAGCAACGGTACACTGCTCCCGAGGTCCAATCCGAAATCGAAAGGCTTGCTCTTTAAACTGCCTTTTGTTGACCACAACGCTCAGAACCACTGAAATGTAAGCCCTTTCAATGGCGGAGAAACAGCATTCTGTCTGAGGCTTCCGCGTATCAGCAACTTCCCACCTGGACCTTGGTTTAACTAAAATCAGACCTACTGAACTCATCCATGGCCCTGAGAGTGAGGGGTGGCGACTGAGAAAACCAATGCTGGCTGACCAACAATCCTCTAGCCACCTCTTTAGCCTCTCCACTCCCTACACCTACCAAGCACAGCCTGAAGCGAGGGGACAGGAAGGGGAAAGTAACGTCAGGAAAAAAGGACACGGGGCAAGGTGACTTAAGAAGCTGCCTTCTCCCTTCCTCCTCCTGCACTCTCAGAACAGGCTTTCATGTGGGCCGTGACCCCTCAGCCTCCTCTGCCAACCCCACCGTCCCACACTGCGACTGAAAGCCGAGAAACTCCTCACCCACCAGCAGATTCCGCAGCATGTTGGCTCAGTTACTGCCCACCAACCGCGTCAACGAAACACCAGAAACAACTATCGCCACACCGGAACCGGAACTACTTTCTGGTATCGCGTAAACGTCAGGGCTGCAAGTATTTCCGGGCGGAGGAAGGCTGGGTCCCTAACGGTAGAGAGCGACTGAAAAGCGAAAGCGGCGAAACGGTGCGGTCGCTCTAGCCAGCTGGCCGTTCCGGCTCCTCGTCGTTTCTGACCTGTCAGACGCTAGGTCGCTGCTGGCCCCGGGAACTAAGGCTTGGGAGAAAGGGATGTGGGGAGTGACGAGTTAAGTACTCTTTTAACTAGCTTAAAATTAACGTGAAACCCCGCTATCCCAGAAAATTGTATGTTTTGAACGAGAACGGGGAAAACTTTGAGCAACCTTTGAGCCAGTTTAGGGACTGAAAGAACACTGGCTTGGCTGAACTGTAAGCTGTGAAGCTGAATGAAATTCGGAACAGAGAGTAACTCCTCTCACACGGATTCAATCCGTTTTCTCCACCAAAGAAGCTGTTGTGAGGCCGTTATTGTTCCTTGTGCTGAGAACATGCTTCAATTAGTGAAGACCTGCGTCGGGATACCAATTTTTTGTCTTGTACGTCTGGGTGCTGCAGAATTCCCATGGAAGCTCTTCCGCAGAGCTTGTGGAAGCTGTTCTCATTTTTCTGTGCCTGGGAAAACGCTGAAGGGCGGGGACGGGGGGTGCTGGCGGATATTTCAATCGGGGACAAGAAATGAGATGGCAAATTTGGATTTGCTGCTTCGGGTCTAGCAGGGCACTTTCCATACTGCAGTTTCTAGGCAGAGCGGTTACTGTAAGCTGTCAGTGTGTCTTGCATCAATCTTGCTTATATAATGCTACAACTGTCTTTATTCTCTACGCCCACCCCGAAGTGTATATAAAAGTAAAAATACTCTCTACCACAATAAAGACCTTTTCAACCTTCTGACAAACTCATTTCTAATTAACCCATGTCATTTCAAATAGGAAGCTGATGATATATGGTTTAGCATAGGCGAAATATGTAGACAAACAGTAGGAAGCTGATGATATATGGTTTATTTCAAAATAGGAAGCTGATGATATATGGTTTAGCATAGGCGAAATATGTAGACAAACAGTAATATTAAAATCATCCTTTCTAACCTTTACTGTTAGACCCACCAAGTTACCTGTCTCCATTCAAGTTTTCTTCGCCGAGATTTATAAATAACCCAATTCATTTCTTCCCTGGATTAGGACTGAAAGGACCTGGTTTTATTTCCCACTCTGCATTACATACTGAAGCAAACCCTTGAGGACAGTTACCAGATGCCAATAGCTGGAGCATACAATTTTTAAGAAGCGGATTGTCTATTATTTGAACTTGTTAAAGTTGTATGTGCTTCCTTATATTTTCTCCATTTAGCCAATTAGATTGTAAACTTCCCAACAGAGATTATGTGAATTTCTTACCAATTCCCACGACTGACTGCTTTTAAAGGGGGTACACTGCTAACGAACAGAAAACTGATTATATATACACACACACTGATTTTATATACTATATATATATATATATACACACACACACACACACACACACGACATTTATGGCTCTGTCCAAGAATAACTAAAGATTCACATAAAAGTAGATGTGCGGATCCTTATTTGCATGTTACTTAGTACAGTATAATTTTCCTCTTTACTGGATCATCCCATCAGCATACAAACATATTCCCAAATTAAACCAACCTCCTTTGATTTTAGTTACCATCCTATTTCTCTTTTTCAAAATAAAACACAAGTTTCCTTGTACTTGTCTTTCCTTCCTGTTTTTTCTTTTTTTTCAATTCCATTTTGGGTGAGCTTTTACTGCTCGTTTAGTATCACCAATGGCTTCTATGTTGCCTGTCAATCTGAATTTTCATCTTTATTATGTATGAGCGACATTTAACATACTTGATCACTCCCTCAAAGTATACTCCCAATTTTTACTTGGAAATAAGCCATAAATGCAATACACTATAACATGTATGTATACTTTAGTTTGAAACATTGTGTTAACCAGGCTTCTATACACTTTAGTTTTTCTAAAGATTTATTTACTCTTAGAGAGAAAGGGAGAGAGGGGAACATCAATGTCTGGTTGCCTCTCGTGGCCCCCATAGTGGGCACCTGGCCTACAACCCAGGCATGTGCCCTGACTGGGAATTGCACTGGTGACCTTTCGGTTTGCAGACTGGCAAACCAGTCTGCAAACCAGACTGGCACTCAATCCACTGAGTCACACCAGCCAGGACCACTTTATTTTATTTCAGCAGCTGCTACTTCTAGTTTCCTCATCTTCTCAATCTCTAGGTTTGAGAATACCAGTTTTTGTTTGTTTTTTTTTTTAACATTTATCCCTTTTGTGCTTCCATGCAATGCCATGAAACACTATTTGTGTGCTGACAACTCTCCACCCTGACCTTTCATTTAACTCCAGACATCTCCACTTAGATGTATAATGGGCATCTCAAAATTACCACCAAAATGGAATTCTTTCCATTCATTTCCAAGTGTTCACCTCTGCAATTTTTTTCATTTGAAGCCCCAAGGTGTTGGCTGCACCATCAAAATATAATCTGAATCTGACCACTTCTTATCTCCATCACTACTACCACTCCAAGCCAAACCATCACCATCTCTTGCTACATTATTGCAAAAGGCTTTTGAAACTGGTTCCCTGCTTCTGCGCTACCAGTTTATCTTTCACACAGTGGTGATCCTTGGAAGAACTTAAATAACCCTGCTTGAAATTATTTTGTCCACAGCTGTATACCCAGGACCTGGACTAATAACCGGCACATAGTAAATATTAGTTAAATGAATAGTATGCTGCACAAATGAACTTATTAAATATAAAAATTAAAAAAACTTTTTTAATATACACTGTACTCCTCTCACTTTTTTCAATCCCAGGGTTCCTCATTGTCTTCTTGCTCTGTAAATTGTGATTATCCTGACAGAAAAAATGGCTGAATGCACCTGGGTGCCTATTAAACTTTACTGGATCTTCCCAGGCACACTTGAAATTTGTTACCAGATTTGTAAAGTCATCCTCTGAAGCAGAAGTTATTTTCAAAATAGGTTCCTATCCAAAAAAATCAGTATGAGGTTCTCCTGTATTAGGGAAATTATTGGAAATGGCTCTTCTTTTGAAAAATATTTCCTCCAGAAGGTTCTTGAATATTCTAACAGAACTGGCAGTACATTTATGTATGTGGTAAATAATGGTTAATATAAGTGTTGACAGTAAGATAGTGTTTATGGCATTAGATGTAAAATTACTAAGTGGAAATACTTCACAATTAACTGGTGCAAAGTTACCAAATCACAGTGACATCTTTTCCTTAAAAAAAAAAAATCAATCCCTTACTTTGATCCTGCCTATAGTATCTATCTATAAACAAAAAGCAGACAAATGCTAAAACAGAGTTTTGTGTGGCTGAGATGTAGGTTTTAATTCTGGAACTATGCTTAATCCACATCCAGTTTTACAAAAACAATATAGAACAGAGTTTCATGTGAAGTTTAATATATCAAAGCTACTAATTATATTAAAAGGTAGCATTTCAATATAACACCCTATTTTTTATTATTATATAGCTAGGAATCAGAAAACACTTCGTTGTCAATTAACTGCTGTATTATTTTATTAAAAAATTTTATCTAATTGCAAGCCTGTCTTTTCATCATTCCAGTGGCTGTACAGCTCTAAAATCTTATGAAAAATACTTTAAAACATATGACTGAGTTCACTCCTTATTGGACAATAACTTATTGAGGACCAGTAAGGTACTATGAAGGTAACACTTTGCAATATGTTCAGGAGAAAACTTTAAATCTTTGATCTTCTGGGGCATATAATCTTATTAAGAAGATAATATAAACATAAGAATAAATTATGATGCAGACATAAATGACTTTGTTAACTGCTATAGCAAAAGTTGCTATGGGAAAGTCAAGGAAGGTAATGGTCATTAGAAAGGTTTTGAAAAGACTGGATGTTAGCAGGATATGGTAAAATTAGAATAAATGGGAGTAGAGATTAAAAGGTATTCCATAATCTGGATTTAGAATCAAGTATTATCTACTGCAGAAACTGTGAACACAGGCCTATATGGAGTGAAAAGAGAAAAAAATCTTACTGTAATACAGAACTAGGAAGTCAGATCCGGAATCTATCAGCTAATAATGAAACTAAAGGCAGATTTCACAATCTATTTATACCTGTTTATCTGTAAAATAAATAGTATACATCATCATTGGGTGGCTGTGGAGGTTAAATGATATAATTCAATAAATGTTAGCTATTATCGTGGGAGGACAAGTTGGATAAGGAGAAGTAGATTAACAGAAATATCCAGGTAGAAGGTATAGCATATGCAGAGGCAAAGAAGAGGGTGAACAGGTATCCCGGGGAATTTTAACTAGTTTGGTTGGCAGGACATGTGGAGGTGTGAAGCAACAGTGAAAGGCAGGAGTGAGATTTTAGTGGTATTAAATTTTATCCTGAAGGTGCAGTTTAAATGGCAAACTGTCAAGCTTAGAACTCTATTTCAAGATCATTCTGGCAGCTGTGAAAGGCTGAAACAGACAGGAGTTACTAGGAAGAGAGAGTCTATGAGAAGGCTTTTATGGTAATCTGAGGAAGAAAACCTGAAACAAATCAGCAAAGAAATGTAGATAAAGGGATGGATTAAAGAGCCAGCTATAAGGAAGTACCTTCAAAAACCAACAGAATGTAGTGGTTTAATAGACTGGGAAGCTGAAAAAAAAAAAACACAAAATTTCTGGCTTAACTCATAAGGTGGTCGGGCATACCATTCACTACCGCAAGGAATAGAAGAGAAACCCAGGCTAGCAGGAGATTCCTGTCTTGGCCTTACTAACCTTGAGAAATGCAAGGACAACCCAAGAAGAGACCGATAGTAAATAATCTATAGTGAATAATTGATAGCTCATGAAAGAAAACAGAGTCAGTGTGAAGGTGGTAATAGAAATGATGAGAATTTAAGATTTCTCAGGGAGTATTTGTAAAGTGAGAAAAGAGCCCCGAACATGATCTCAAAGAACTCCCAGTGTTCTATATGGTGAGTATAACCTAGGAATATATAAAGGAGACTAGAACAAGTAAGTAGAAAGAAATCAGGAGAGTTATTCACAGAAGTCATATGCTAAAAAATGAAAAGGGAAGGAAAATGCCAAACTATCAAATGGGGCAAAAGTTCAAGATACAGGTAAGTTCATTTGACTCCACAAAAAGAAGTGGAACTGTTCACTGAGCATCATTTCTCTACACTTTGTACTAAATGCTTGTCATCTATCACTTCCCTTATTCCTCAAAACAGAATGTTAAGTGGGTATTAAAATCCCCATTTTACTGACAAGGAAATAGTAAAATAAATGGTTTAGGAGATGAAATAATCTGAAGACACAATTACATATATAAGCCAGATCAACGCACCTTTGAATCCCATACTGCCCCCCCCCCAACGAACTCCTTTGGACAGAGTTGACAGCAGACTACAGTGCAATCATGGGGTTAAAGCCTGGCTGAAGTTGAAAATGACAATAAAATATAAACCACTCTTTAACAAGCTTTATTGTGAAAAGGAAGGACAACACACCCCAGGGATTATCTTAGACCACTGATCCAACTGTCATTTGACATACACTTATGAAGCTATTTTTTCTGCATTTCTGGTCCTTGAAACAAGGTGGCATATCAGTCTTGACAGTTTATTTAAAGTTGATGTATGGTGAGTTCAATCTTCTTTCACATTACCCTACTGAAAAGTTTGTGACATAAAAACAGACAAGCTCCCATTAGTATACTTGACATAACAACTTTATCTTTTAAGATTTTAAAATGTTATAAAAAGTTACACATTTGAAACCTATATAATTTTATTCATTAATGTCACCCCAATATATTAAAAAAACTTTTAAATAAATAAATGAAAAAAAAAAGATTTTAAAATGTTATAAAATCACCAAAAGGTTTTTCAAGGGATATTTCTGGTTTAAGATAGTGAACTGGCCCCAAGCATTTCTTCTCTTCTTGCTCTCACTCATAAAATATACAGAAATTAAAAGGATATGAGGCATTGACAGACCTTTAAATAAATCTCACAGGCACTATGCTGAGTGCAAGAAGCCAGTTCCAAGGTTATATATGGTATAATTCCATTTATGACGTTCTAGAAGACAAAACTGTGGGGATGGGAAAGAGATCAGTGGTTGCTTAGGTTTATGGGAGAGAAATGTGACAATGGGACAGTCAGCATAAGCGAGTTTGACAGTTGATGGTACTGCTCTGTATCCTATGAAGGTTACAAAAATCTAGACATGAGTTAGAACTCACAGAACTGTATACTACAAGGAAAAAAGTAAAGTTAACTGTATAATAATCTAAAACCTAGAAAGGATATGATCTCCAAAAGATGAGAAGTAGAGAGGAAACAGGAGAAAATGGATTTCAACAGACTTCTGAGAAACAGAAAGCAGCTGCAGTATGACTGAGCAGGACAGAGGAAGCTGCGTTCTGAAGGGGCTGCAAGGATGACATCACTGAGAAGCATGCTGATTGGTCCCACAACCCTAGAGAGGCTCAGACAGGAAGCTAAAAGTTATAGCCAAGAGCGGAGGGAGCCAAGAGACAGGCCTGAAAATGGCCAATTGAAAATTATCCAGCCTCTGCCCTACCTCTCTCAGCCAATCGAATACAATCTCTCACCTCCATCACTATTTCCCACAGGTGACAAGAGAACTTCTGTCTGAAGTAAATGGAGACAACAGGATGGAAGGAATGTGCTGAGGGACAAGTATAGGAAAATATGTGTGAAGTATAAAACAGAAAGTGAGGTGGGGGACAAGGCAGAAGCAGAGTTAAAGTAGTAATAAACAGAACCTCCTTCAAACCCTTCCTTTTGCAGATTAGAGAATTCTTCCCTAGAGGAGCTGACAGTTCCAGAGAAAAAAGCCTCCAAATGCCTGACTCTCTAACAGCCATTCCCTAATGCAGTGTCTGAAAATTCAGTCTACCTACAGCTGCTGACCTGCCAGCTATTTATTATAAAACATATCTAAGCTTTTTATCATGAAGAGAACAAATTTTTGAGGTGCACTGTGTAAGTGAAGCCCATCACTAGTCAAGCACTGCCCACATAGGAGCTTTCAATTATTCCTTGAGGTCTATTGTTTCATAATGACAGACTGCTGAGACTAGCCAAACATACAAGGAAAGTCACCTACATAAACAAGAGAAGCGAACTAAAATTTAAAATAGCAACAACAAAAATCAATGTAAAAAGAGTATAGAAAGCAAAAATACAGGGGTGGGCAAAAGTAGGTTTACAGTTATACAAATACCATAATAAATAATAATATAGTAATAAATTGTTTCACATACTCCCAACTATAAACCAACTATACTCACTGCTGTATATCCATATGTCCTCAAAATATATTAGTATTTTTTTAGAAACAGAACAAAGGAAGCCTTGGGAATTTAAATATTTTTAAAATGCATAAAGATTCAATGGAAAGATAATGTTGGAAGATCAAAATAAAGAAATCTTCTAGAAAAAAGAGACAACAGTGTCAAAACAACTGGAGGAAAAAAATATGAAAATTAAGCATCAGTGTCAGAGCTAGGATAGGATCAGATTTCTCAAAAGCAACAATGGTACCTAGAAGAAAGTGGAGCAATGCTTTCAAAATTCTGAGAGAATATTAGTCTGATTCCATATACAATTTAAGCTAAAAATATCAATGAAATGTAAAAAGAAATAAGAACATTTTAGACAACTTAAGGATTCAGGAAATTTGCCTCTCATAAACCACTTCTTAGGAAGATTTAAGTTTTAGGAAGTGCCCCAGTAAACAAGAAAGTAAACAGCAGATCCAACACGGAAGGATGACAAAAGGAGGTCTTGGGGCAATGGATGTAAGGCCAGAGGACAGAACCACCAGTAGAGATTAGCAAGAAGACAAATACAGAGTAGACCTCTCTAGTGATGAGAATACAGTGAAACTGACCAAAAAGTTGGAAAAAATTTAAGACCCTTCCAAAAAGTTTTGTTAAAAATGAGGATTATTAACTCCGGAAAAAATTAAATTACTGGTATGTAAAATGTAACCATGGTACACTTTGCTCTACAGTATACAGTATAATTAAGCAATAGCTAATGCACTGTAAATATTATGACATAACTTTGTAATGGTAGAAGTGAGGTGTGTGTGTTATAGACAGCTGAATTATCTGATAACACTAACAAGATAATGTCTAAAAGTGTTAAATCAAGCAATTGTAGAATAGGCATATTATTCAGATACACTAAGATAAATACCAAAATAAAAAAACTTCTGAAATCAAAATGATTGTCTCTAGAAGGTAGAGAAAGCTGGGACAGGAACTACTGTTTTTCATTGTCAGGCCTGGATTTTTTTAAGTGTGTACATTACTCTGATAAACTTTACAGACATATAGAAGAAAATAAGGTCACCATGGTATGATTTATTCTGAAACTTCAAATGACATTAGGGGAAACGTGATTTTTGTATTTATTAAATGGGATATGGGCTAAAAAGAGGCTCTAAAACAATTTACTAGATCATACAAACTCTACATCTATGGATCAAAATTCTTCTTGAGAAAGCACTCCCTTACACCCTCCTGTACAAAACTTTGCAACTTAAGCAACAAAGGACCATACTGTAATTCTAAGGCAGTGTTTCCATAAAGACAGGAGGTAAACAACCTGAAGAACATTCCTTTACTCTACCTCTCAGCTGCTCTTCTTTCCCAGTCTGGCTTTTCATTTTCTGTATGCCTCACTCACTTCATTATTTTCACCATCCTTGCCTCCCTATACCACATCTTCATTTCCTATCTACCAGACTTTTCCTGTGATCTAAGGTAAAATTTAGACCATCTCCCTATAACTCAGGTGACAATTTGACCACTTCCTGGTAAGACCAGATGCTACTCAGTAATATAGATAAATCCTGCAGCTAATGCTGTCAGAGTGATTAATATACTATATATACATATATATGGCAATCAAACCTAGGCATAGACATGTTAAAACTTGACTCACTGAACCTGAGCTGAAATTCAGTGCTAAACATCAGCAACGACCCCAGGGCATCGCTACTTTATGAAAACACTCAAACACAGAAAAATTAATTTTGTTCATTTTATTAATATAGAACATATTAAAAGAAAGTTATCTTTTAATATAATCAAGGTTACAAATAATGTTACTGACCAATAAACAAATAATATTCACTTGACTCTCCTCTTGGTTGAATAATTCTCTATTTGATAATACAGCTATTTTTACCAATTTATTTTTAAACTGCCTTATTATTTAAAAGAAATTTCTTAGCCTTTATTAAATAATTCCTTCAATTGAGAAACTTCATATATCAAAATACTTCCTGCAAATTAATGCATTCTTCAATGCTTTCTATTTAACCCATTTGTCTTACAATGCAATAATTCTTTGAAAGTTGAATATGACAATATTACATTAATGTTTCCTAAAGATGAGCATAAAGCCCATAAGAAAGAAATGGTTCCTCTCCCCTCATGCTTCACAGAGGCCATATGAATGTTCCACATTCTTCATAGTTACCAACAGGAATCCCTTCGAGTTCAAATGGCAGGAGACAGGGAGAAACTGAAGCTATCAATGTGCTTATACAATAGATAAAACTCCAAATATATTTTAAGATTCCATCTTCACCACAGATGGAAAGTGTTAGAAGGGGTCTTTAACTTTTCTTCAGCAGCACCTTTGGTCCCCCAATTAGAAAAAAGGGATGCAGGACGGTAGTCCTCCTTAAACAGCACAATCTGGAAAGACTCCCAGAAACCCCTCTCCCCCAGTGGTGTATCCCAGAAGATAGACTGCCTTGTGTAAGAGGATCAATTATCAGAATAAATAATATTCTGAAGGACTGACAAAAACAAAGAATATTCTTGGACAAAGAATACCACATGCACTCAGAAATTTCAGGGTAATCATACATTAAATACCTCACGCCAGTAATAGTCTACCAGTTAAAAGTCACACTATACAAAACTTAAGAAGTGTGGCACATTTCTACTATTAAACATTATATTATTTTTTGTCTTTTTTAAAAAAACATATTCATCAAAATTGATATGTTACCCAGACCATTAGATTTAAAATATAATAGAAGGAAACCATTAGAAACTCTAAATAAGCAGGCATTCTACACAAACATGAGTTTAAAAAAAAAAAGCAATTTCAATGCAATTAAGCTCTCTACTTAAGATACACATCTCATGCATGTGGAAAAATAAATTTACATTCAGGAATAAGTTCCACAGAAAACAAATTATAGCATTTATTCAATAAGGAATATTAAAATAATTCCAGTTAATAGAAAACAAAAGTTTTAACCATATATATTATAATTTATCATGTACATAATCAAATATCTCCAGAATTTAATTAGGAAATTTAAAGAACCTCTTTTTAAAATATGTGTTAGGTAAATCAACCAAAACAATTGGTGCATTAACTAAAAAGAATGTGCATACACATCCAGATTTGACCTACATGCAAAAATTGAATGAAATATAGAGGAAATGAAGGTTACCATTTTTTAAAAATTTCTGCAATGTAATATTAGTACTCAAGTCAAAACACTTACCTGCAAAATAAAAACAGCTTGAGGTATTTCCATGATGACATGTAAAAACATATCAAAGTAAGATGGGGTTCCTGACTGTAACATCTTAACCCAATGGAAAGAGGAATTTTAAATTCTCCTACCTGAGACCTATTCAGACATGAGCTTTAATTCCTATGCTAGACAAAGTAAGTAAGAGTTCAAAGGTGAAATCAAAACTAAGTTTGATAGAGAACTATACTGGATAAATTAAATACATGAACCACCTTACCAAAGATGGTACTTTAAGCTTTTACACACGACACATGAAAATGATGAAGTGTTTTATTTAGATTTGGTCTTTCTTCATTTTTTTGTAACTCTGAATCCTGCAATGTGAGCAAGTCATTATACGCATACATCTTCACACAATAGGCACACATATATACATATACAGCATATATGTCAATATAATATTAACAGGGCATAAACATTTAAGCAGTAGACACATTTCACATGATAGAGGCTCTATGCATCATATGGCCTGTCCCAACAAAAATCAAACATTAGAATGTCATTTCAGCAATTACAGGGCTGACATGATCAATCAATATAGCTAATCTGTTTTATACCCGTCATATGTTTTCATAGGTCATCCATAAGGAAGAAGCAAAGGACAAAGGCTGTTCTTTTTAAATAAGAAGTTATGTGAGAACTTCAAAAATGACATACTAACCAGACATCAGCATTCAAAAGCTAGGTTGAATAAAACTGGCCTTGATGCACATGCGGTATATTTGTTTTCAGAATATAAAATTAAATGGTAATGTCAGCAGTATTACTACTGTTTCTATATTTATGATTAATTACTAGCAGCACAACTCCCAGAAGAAACGAGATGGATCCAACAGCGATGTATGAAATCCCCAAAAACGGATTTTTTCCTCCCATCCATGATATAGTACTTAAGATCATCCGTTTTCGTCCATCAAAAGAGTGTACAGGGTAATCTGAAGAGTGAATAGGAAAACTTTTCCATGCGTAGTTACATAATTTTTAAAAGACAGCTTGTAATTCATCAGTAATTCTATGATGCAGAGGCACCTACTCATATGTTCTGAATCCTAAAGTAATTATGTAATTATTATCTTGAAGAACTGGTTTAGCAAATTAAATGTTAGTAGTAAAAGCCAATATAGTTTGCAAGCAAAAACAACCACATTTAATGGTTATATTGTTTCTTAGGTACTTGTACTCTTATTACACAGGAAGGTCAAAAAGCCACAAAGAAATGTAATGTGAAAAAATGAACAGCAAAACCCACAGAAGAGGTTGACAGACCAAGAGACAAGGAAAGAATGAAGGGATCAGAGGTCTCTGTGAGCTCAAAGAGCACATGTGGTGAGAGCATAGTTATTAGAATATGAGAGGACTCTGAACACAGGGTAAAAAAGTGCCATACTGAAGTTTTAACTTGCTGATTTGGTGTAATTAATGATAAACTTCATGGTGTGACACAGAGAGGTGATGGCTAAAACAGAGTGGAAGTCAAAGGTGGATTTTTTTTAATGTATTTTATTGATTATGCTATTGCAGTTGTACCATTTCCCCCACTTCACTCCCCTCCACACTGCACACCTTCTCCCACCCACATTCCCCCCCTTTAGTTCATGTCCATGTGTCATAAGTTCTTTAGTTTCTACATTTCCCATACTATTCTTGCCCTTCCCCTGTGTATTTTCTATCTACCATCTATGCTACTTACTCTCAGTACTTTTCCCCTCTCTCCTTCTCCCACTCCCCTGTTGCTAACCCTCCATGTGATCTCCATTTCTGTGGTTCTGTTCCTGTTCTACTTGTTTGCTTAGTTTGCTTTTGTTTTAGGTGTGATTGTTAATAATTGTGAGTTTGCTGTCATTTTACTATACATGTTTTTTATCTTCTTTTTCTTCGATAAGTCCCTTTAACATTTCATAAAATAAGGGCTTGGTGATGATGAACTCCTTTAACTTGACCTTATCTGAGAAGCACTTTATCTGCCCTTCCATTCTAAATGAAAGCTTTGCTGGATAGAGCAATCTGGGATGTAGGTCCTTGCCTTTCATGACTTCAAATACTTCTTTCCAGCCCCTTCTTGCCTGCAAGGTCTCTTTCAAGAAATCAGCTGACAATCTGGTGGGAACTCCTTTGCAGGTAACTGTCTCCTTTTCTCTTGCTGCTTTTAGGATTTTCTCTTCGTCTTTAATCTTGGGTAACTTATGATGATGTGCCTTGGTGTGTTCCTCTTTGGGTCCAACTTCTTTGGGACTCTCTGAGCTTCCTGGACTTCCTGGGAGTCTATTTCCTTTGCCAGATAGGGGAAGTTCTCCTTTATTATTTGTTCAAATAACTTTTCCACTTGTTGCTCTTCCTCTTCCCTCTGGTACCCCTATAATTCGGATGTTGGAACATTTAAAGATGTCCTGGAGGTTCCTAAGCCTCTCCTCATTTTTTTGAATTCTTGTTGCCTCATTCTTTTCTGTTTGGTTGTTTCTTTCTTCCTTCTGGTCTACTCCATTGATTCGAGTCCCAGTTTTCTTCCCATCACCATTGGTTCCCTATGCATTTTCCTTCATGTCACTTAGCATAGCCTTCATTTTTTTCATCTAATTTGCGACTAAATTCAACCAATTCTGTGAGCATCCTGATCACCAGTGCTTTGAACTGTGCATCTGATAGGTTGGCCATCTCTTGGTCGCTTAGTTGTATTTGCCGTGGAGCTTTGATCTGTTCTTCTGTTGGGGCCATTATTATTATTATTATTATTATTATTATTATTATTATTATTAGTCTTGTTGCACCTGTTACGTATGAGGGGCAGAGCCTTAGGTGTTCACCAGGGCAGGGCAACCCCATCACTGGGTTCTGATGCTGTATGCAGGGGTCCAAGAGGGAACAATGGGGCTAGTTCCACTCTCTGTTGGATTTCAGTCCCTTCTGCGCTTCCCCCAAGCAAAATGGGCCTTTCGTGTGGGCTTGTGCACATTCTAGGACCCCATGGGTCTCTCCAAGGAACCTTGGAGAGGCTGGGAGTCTCTCTCCCGACACCGCAATTCCCACAGGTGTTTTCAATCAGTGCCCCGAGGCTCTATTTCCCAGCGCTGGGACCACCCAGTCAGCCAGCCGCCTTGCATGCAGTGCCTCGCTTCACAGTCACCACCTCACTGGGTCTGCCCACTGCCACTCCGCGCCCAGGGTCCGCCCGCTGCAGTTTTGCACATCCAGCATGCCTTACACAACCAGTGCCACTGCTTTTTGTGCCGAGGGGCTGCCCAACTCCGCCCTTTCTACCAGTCTGGATGAATGTGCCTATTTTAACTCCTTGGTTGTCCGACTTCCATATGGTTCAATTTTCTATCAGTTCTGGTTGTTACTTTGTTTCTAAATTATTGTTGTCCTATTTTGGTTGCACAAAGAGGCACAGTGTGTCTACCTACGCCTCCATCTTGACTGGAAGTGAAAGGTGGATTGTTAATGAGACTTAAGAAATGAGGTACCAGTATACTGAATGAGCTATCTACACAGACCAGTTCTTGGATTTTAGCAACACATTAGAAAAGAAAACAGAAGTCAGTCATGTAAAAGGTTTACAACCTTTCAAAAGTACCTTTTGAATCAAATATTCCATCTGCTTCTGCATCTGCTTCTCTGGACTTCAGCAACTCTCCAAATGACTCTAAATGGCAAGCTCAGCTCTACTTGTTTCTTAAATCAATTTACACTGATTGAGGTAGGAATGATTTTAAGAACTCTAACTAATCCAGCACTCTGACAGACATAGTCTCAAATCACCCATGCTAGTATCTCTCTGTACTGCAAACCTAAAAAATTGAGCTTCTGCCTTAATTCTAATATCTAGTTCCCACTTTATACCTAATTTTGATGATTAATCCTTGATGTTTTATATGCCCATCTTGTCAATCTTCAGTGTACCCTGCATTTTCCTGACTATGATCCTCTCAATGCATGGGATACAAATCAACTAAGAATTCCTGAGTGCTCTAGATACTTTCCTGTATTGTACTCTAGACTTCAGGTTTGGATACTCTTACACAACTGCCCACTACTTTGGCTACAGGCCCAGGACAGCGTTCTTTTTCTTGCACCTGAACTGGGTCTGACTGTCCAAAACTGCTATGTGGATCTAGTTTCAAAAACTTGATCACTTTCAATCTGTCACTCTCAGGTCATCAGCAAACATTTAAGTGCTAATATTTGAGAAAATCTTCATTCATAATATAAACAAATAATGAACTAGAGGTTAAAAAAATGTAAGGACTTTGTTTGGAATAAAAGGTAGTGTCCTACATTTCCATCTTGGTAAAGACAGCATTTAGGCTGATATGAATTGGTCTAAACTAGCTAGGGATGCAGCCTACGGTGGCGGCTGATGGTAACAACATGGCCTTTGGAGTCAACAGGCTGACCATGAACCCCAACTCTTCTACTTATTTCCTATGCAATCAATCTCAGGCAAGTTACTTAAATGCTCCATGTTCCTGTATTCTTGTCTATAACATAGAGATTGTAACTACCTCATAAAGCTTGAATTAAGTAAAATACTGCATGAAAAGTACTTAGTACAATGATCACATATAGTCAGAATGAAATGAATGATGTTTATCAGCACTGAAAATTTCATGTAAATTATTAATGTGGCAAAATATAGCTAATGATAATGTTTTGGTACTATGAACAGAGCAATAATTAGAAATAATTATGTTGACATTAACATATCTGCTATTTTAATATGTAAAAATATATATTAAAACAGCCCAGTACCACCAACACATTTATTATTAGGAACATCCACTGGCCTTTCCATTAAGCTCAGTTACAACCTCCCTTGTAAAAATATCTAGCTTACTAGTAAACCCAGCACCTACAATTTAAATAATTTTACCAAATACTTTGCTTGAACCATAGTACCAAGTACGTAAAAATTTAAGATACTTCTGAAAGGTGTAAATTAAGATACTTTCTCATACATACACTCATAAAAACATAGAGATCAAAACTATAACACAAAGTAGCATAACACATAACTAAGGTAAGGTTGTACTACACTCCCTTCAAATTCTGACTCTGTACACACAGCCAAAAAAGGATACTGTACGTGACATTCAAACAGTATTGTCCAGCTGGTAATGTTGGATGTAAATCATTCGTCCGCTCTATAAGACGATATAACTTACGAAAAGTGGGCAACGCTGCAGTACGCATCCAAACAATAAAATCCTCATTTATGAACCCATTATTATCTTTGTCAAAATCCAGCATGTACACTGGTTTAACCCAGTTTACCGGCTTTGTTGTACCTTAAAAAGGAGGGGTGGGAGTAAGGGAGACAAAATATTTGATTCTATTAAGAGTTTCACTGAAAATTCACACTCTAATAAAAAAAAAGATATGCAATACACAATCAGACTATTTTTCTTATTTTCAAAGGTATGAATACATTCATATTTTAAGTAAGTCTTAAATCTAGGAAGAAACCAATTCCTCATGTAACAATTTAACATAATTACAAATATTTGATTGGTATCTCAAGAGAATACTAAAAATAGGCTATTTAGTACATACCAAAAGGCAGATGATTTAATGCAAAGTTATAATTATAGAAAACACTACACTGTGAAATTATGGAGATACAGAAGAAACACAAGTAAGTTTGGATTTATAATAATTGGGGTTTATTTAAAAGAGACTTTACTACGGTATTAAAAGACTATGGCTGAAATGCTTACGAGATAATACCAAAGATATTCAAGATTAAAAGTTTACATTTCCTTTAGAATTTCAGTACATTAAAACAGAGTACATGCTCTACCTTACTATGTATGAAGTTAAGGAAAGTAGTTGTATTTTAAAATGCATACACTTTCTTAAGATTCTAAAGATAGAAATTTTAAGTACTTTAATAAAAGTCCTAGCTTATACTGTCTTAAAAAGATGTTAATAATATTTTACCATCGAATCGTTGTTCTAGGGAGCCTTCTCCAGGGGGATTTCTGAATTTCACATGTTTATCTGTCCACCAAGCAATACCTTTGTTTTTCAAAGGAATGGACGTCCAGTAAGATCCATTGCTAACCAAAAACAATTCTAATGTATCTAAACACAAGAAAAGGAAGATATTGCTAAATGTGCATTCAAAATTCATAACTGCTTTACTCTATGAGAAACGAGGATCTGGTATTTGCTCCCAAAACGGATAGTAACAGAGTAGCCATATGATATACATATGATCTTGATTATTTCTATGTGAATTAACGATTATAACTTTATAATCCCAGGTGAACTTCTTTCCCCTCAATATAGTTCTGGGTCACTTCCCTATATGGCTAGCTGACTTATGAGAAGATCAAATGTCTTAACATTAACCCAAATAAAACCATTTGCAAGGTAAATCTGGGTATCCTCCTTTGCTTTAAAAAATGCATTCCCAAAAAGCTTCTGGTTTATCCATTTCTCTATCTGTACTGTCCAATACAGTAACCAGTGGTTACATGGCTACAGAATCTTTCAAATTACAGTTGATCCTAATGTATGTTTTATAAATGTATACTATACATCAAGTATCAAAGACTTAGTACAAAAAGAGAATATAAAACTTCTCATTTAATAACTTTTATATCATATGTATTATTTATATGCTGATATGATGTTTTGGGTATACTGGGTTCAATAAAATATAAAACTTATTGTTAAACTTAATTTCACAACCTCTCCAACACCTGTTATTACCTGTCTTGTTAATAAGTCATTCTAACAGGTGTGAGGTGGTATCTCATTGCAGTTTTGATTTGCATTTCCCTGATAGCTAGAAGCACTTAGCATCTTCTGATATATGTGTTGGCCATTTGTATTTGTCCTGGGAAGAAATGTCTGTCTGTTCAGGTCCTCTGCCCATTTTTTAACTGGACTGTTTGGTTTTTTTTGTTGCTGAGTTATGGGTTTCTTATTTATTTTTGATATCAGCCTCCTGTGGGAACATGTATCTTCTCCCATTGTTTGCAAGTACCTTCTCCTATCTGGTTGGTTGCCTTTTCATTTTGTTGATGGGTTCTTTTGCTGTACAGCTTTTTACTTTGATTTAAAAAAAGAACTCTCATTCAATGCTGGTTGGAATGTAAACTGGTATAGCCACTATGGAAAATAGTATGGAGGTTCCTCAAAAAATTAAGAATGGAGTTACCAAAAGACCCAGCAACCAACCCTTTTCTGGGTATCTACCCTAAAAATCTGAAAACATTTATTTATAAAGATATATGCACCACTATATTCATTGCAGGATTATTCACGGTGGCCAAGACATGGAAACAATGAAGCATCCCTGAATAGATGGCTGGATAAAGAAGATGTGGTACGTATACGTACACAATGGAATATTATTCAGCCATGAAAGATAAAATACTGCCATTTGCAACAATATGGATGGATCTTGAGACTATCATGCTAAGTGAAATAATTCAGACAGAAAAAGTCAAGAACCATATGATTTCACTCATATATAGGATATAAGACTGAAAATAATAAATGAACAAACAAGACAAACAAAAACTCATAGACAACAGTACGGTGGTTAACAGAGGCAAGGGGGTTAGGGGGTTGTAAAGAGTAAAGGGGATCAAATATATGGTGAAAGAGATGTGACCTCTAGTGGTAAATACACAATGTAATATAAAGATGATGTATCATAGAATTGTATACTTAAAACCTATACAATTTTACTAACCAATGTCACCCCCTAAAATTTAATTAAATTAATTTCACTTGTTTCTTTTTATTGTTTTTAATGTGCTGCTGTAAGTGATCAACTGTAGCATCTTTTTAATGATACACATATTCAAAATTGGTGGGAAAGGTAACCTGGCTTTTATTTTATTATCTCTGCAATAGGAAAGTTAGCACAATGCCTCTGCTTCTTTCTTCTCAGAAACAAAAGTTCATTCTTAAAGTATAAGAATTCTCAAAAGAAAGTCATAAAGCATTATAATACCCCACTGAATTACTAATTTATTTTAAGGTTGTTGAATTTCTTAATTTCATTCATGTTTACTAGCTTATTAAATCTGTAATAAGATTATACAAATTTTCCTAATTTTATATGTCTACATCTATATCTTTGTATCCATATCATACCATTAAACATGCTGTTGGCAATAGCTCCACAAGGAGCAATTGGTTTGTCTTCATTTCTTCGATAAGGCTCACATTCCTTACTGGGATTCTGATATTTAGAGGGAAAAGAAGAGAGAAATTATTACCCAGGCCTCTGAGAGAACTATGTGCTAGCTCCAATTATTGATTAAAAAATTCAACCCTTGCAATGCTCCTCACCTGCAATGCATACAAAATGAGGCTGTATCATAAAGACTATAAATAACACCACATTTAACTATTCGAATATATTCCTTAGCATTACTATATTATCATTTTAATGCAACTTTTCTTTTACATATTTTGTCATACAGGTATATATCAAATTAACATATTTGATTTTCATATGAACACAGAAATCATAACCACAAAGAGTTTTTTGCTCAAGAAAAATTAAAAAGCAGTCTACTGTCAATCAAGTTGTGACATAATGGAAGGAATCTTAAACTGAAAGAGACTAAAGGTTCTAGTGCCACCTGTGTACTATTGTGACTTTGGGCAAGTCCCTTGATTTATCTGGGCCTCACTTATAAAATTAACATATTCAACTAAATATGCTCAAATTTTGTAGTTCTGGGTTAAATCCCCTGGGAAGGGAAGGGAAGAGGAGGAAGGAGAAGGAAAGAGGAGGGGAGGAGAGGGGAGGGAAGAGGAGGAAAAGGGAGAGGAGGGGAGGGGGAAAGTCAGTCTAATGCAGATTCCTGGAATATAACAATCTTCTCTAAATCATGCATCCAGGTACAAAGAAAACAGAAATGCTGGCAAGGCAGGGAGCATTAAGCCCTACTGAAGATCTCAAGGAGACATGGCAGCTACAGGGTTAAATGGAGATTCTACCAAGCCTAAGATTAGGTGTATACATGAGTTGTACTGGGACTCAAAGGTCACATTAAGCCATGTCTCAAAACAAATAATCTTTATTACTTGGTTTCTCAGCTTTTTTCATCCCTAACCCATCTAGATTTATAAAGTTAGTACTCTGAGACAATAAATATAGGCAACATATAATTAGTTTATTACTATTTAATGAAAACTGTGATTTCAAAAAAAGTTATTAAATGTAAATAAACTCTTTGTAGGGTAAATATATTTTAGCCACTAAATGCTTAAGGAAGTTTAAAAAAAAAGGAAAACATTATTTACTACCTATACATCACATACTGAACTAAGCAATGCTGGGTACTTTGAAGTAACTGGCTTTAAAAAGGCATTAATAATTACTGATACCTATCATGTACCATGCAAAATGCTCAAAACATAAATCAAAAAATAATGAAATCCCTGCTTTTAAGTGACTTATAATATAATAAAGGGAACAGATCCATACATAACCAACAATAATATGAAATACTATGATACAAGCACCTATATTCATTCCCCATGTATTTATTAAATGCCTTCTATGTGCTAGGTAGGCACTTGGTATATAGTAATTACAGAAAGTCATGGCCCCTGCCCTCATGAGCTTACAGTGTAATAGGGAAGACATAGGATAAGAAAGGAAACAAATACATATTTATAAACTGCAATAAAATATTCATTTATTGTAATTTATAAAATGCCATAGAAGTAATTAATGCCTCACAAGTAATTAATGAGGGAGTAGCTACTTTAGAATCTATGGTAAGGAAAAGTTTGTCCCTGGAGGTAGTATATAAATAGACCTACAGAAAAATAGAAGATAGCCACATGAAGAGGAGGCAGAGGAGTTATAAGCAGACAGAATAGCATGTTCCACTGAGAAAGAACTTGGTATATCTGAGAAGGTAAAAAGTAAATGTACTTATAGTACAGTAAGCAAAGTAGTGGTGGTATTTACTTTTTCAAAGATCATCATAGCAGCTAGGTAGAAAATGGCCTAGATAGGGCGAAAGGATGATGTGGGGAAACCGTTTGTTAAGCAAAGTGAGAAGTAACTAGAAAGAGTATGAATGAAGTCAATATGTAAAGAAGTTATTTTGCATCAAAGGGCACTAAAGAAAACAGCAGGCCTTGAGATGAGAGGACCTCTAGAGAAAGAGTAAAACCCACATTCTAAGCAAAATGTAAATGCCAAAATGTGCAGATGAACTTGTGTCACCAAGCATGGTTAGGGAGCAGCATACATGGCCCAGTGCAGCCAGGCCAAAAGTACATTACAGATGAAACATAAAACAGTAAGGCCGGAGTGCAGGTTGATATCAGATTGTGAAGAGTCTAGCACACAATGCTAGTAAGTACCTTGGACTTCAATCTGTCCATTCCCAAAATCTTCAAGAATTTTGAAAGTCACCTGGTCTTTAATTCATACATTTTCGTCTAGTGCGGGGATAAGTGACAGCCTAACACAAAATCCATCCTACCACCAGTTTTTTGTAAATAAAGTTTCATTGGAACACAGATACACCCATTCATTTAAGTGTTGTCTGTGGCTGCTTCCATCTGCAATGGTAGAGATGAATAGCTGTGACAGAGACGGCATAACCTGCAAAGCTGAAATACTTTCATCTGGCCCTTTACAGAAAAAAAATCATCAATCCCAAGTCGAGTCTAAAAGCTTTGCTTGCAGTTTATAAAAAAAGAATCAATCTCAGCTTCTTTCACCTTTGGTGAAGAGAGTATGTATCTAAATAAAAGAATTATAAATCATCTACCACTTTGGTCTTTGAACATACCCAATCTATGATCCTAATCAACAAATTCAGAAAGGCCTTGGAACTTGGTGTCTCTAACTGAACACCACCTTCTCTGGATTTGAGTTCTAAAAATTGGATCCCACAGAGCAAATCCCACTTGGATTAGAAAATATTACAGCCCTAACCAGAGTTCTTATACAGACTTGTTATTCCAAATATCAGCAATAAAACCATATACAGACTTAAGATTCCAAATATCAGCAATAAAACCACTAAGGATAGCCTAGGGCAGCTATCTGCTTACCAGGACCATTTTGTCACAATATGATCCTAAATTATATTCCAAGAGATTCACCATTTCTAAGCAACACTAGATTGCTCTGATACTCTGCCTGTTTGTTGGACTGGCAGCAATATAACATAAAATACTTACACACCAACCACTACTATGGAAAGCTGAACAACAATCAGGAAACTAAGACCCTTCAGTCAGTCCACAGATTCCCAACCCAGGCTGGGAATCAGAAGGGGAGCTTAATAAAAGTAAGACATTTTAGAGCTCCACCCCTGAAGGCACTGACATATTAGATTTAGGGGATTTCTGGAATCTACATTTTGAAAAAGCTCCTCAGACAGTTTTTCAGTAACCTACCCTTTGAACTTCACTACTCAAGCTTCCCACAAGTTAAAAAATGAAGAGCATACATGTTCAATTCTAAAACACAATCTTAGAAAGTTTAAAAAATACTTATTTATATATTCTTACCTAGTGTAATAATAATGAACAAATCCAAACAGAACAAATTATATACCCAGGATGCTAGAGTCATCAAAGTTCCATGACAAACAGATTAATAAAGCAAAAATCCCAAAGACACTACTAGAAACAAGCAGGTAGGAACATGTCCTCTGGCTGTAAGAAATCATTAATCTTTGTAAATTCCAGGGGGAAAATTTTTAACTAAAAACTCTCACTAAACAAACTATAAATGGCAAGTAACACTTTAATTCCATCCTAGCATTATTAAAATTAACATTTCTGGCTGTTCTGCCTGTGGAGTAACGTTCTCTCTGTCCCACTGCTCCTCTAGTAAATTCTCTTTTGCTTTAAACTCTAAAGGAAAAAAGAAAACAAAATTAACGTTTCTAACTAAACAATTACCACATTATTTCATAGAAACTACACTTTCATATCCCATCATTTTACTTACACGTAAAGCACCAGAATCTCCATTTAGTTGACTATCATCTCGAGATTTTACATAACGACGATGGTTTTGATAAAAATTAGATAGTCCATAATACATAAACACATTGCCCTAAAGAAACAGAAAGGGGAAAATTTTTCACATCAAAATAGTAAGTGTAAAACTATATTATGCATATATAAAAGCTATTTAGTTTTGGACTTAATTAGTATACTAGAATTTGTGAAAACTTGAAACAAGTACTGGGGTGAATTCTACCAGTACTTATTAGCAATCTAAAACAATAAAAATTGTAAGTAAGGTTAAAGAAGGTATGTTGCAAAAATTTAAGAGTAAACTTTGAAAATACCCTTAAAAACTTCAAAGAAGTGCTATTTAAATAAAAACCAAAAAACACTCCTATTCTGATCTACTTTGAATTTTAAATTTTCTCCTATGTGAATTACAACTTGAATTGAGTCATAATAAACTTTTCTATAGAATATTATACAAGTAATTAGTAAAGTATCCAAGATAATGAGTCAGTCACTCTGTAATAAGCAAGAAGAGTATTTTAATGTATCCAGTGGAGCCACCTTGGGAAAGAACGGTAACTAACATATACTATAATTATTTAGAAGATGCCACAAAGCCATCGTAAATCACTAAGATTTTTAGAGGTCGCAAAACATGAAGCTATTATCTCCTTTCTGGTTGCTACCTGTATCATCTAGAATCTTATGCTCATTTAAAAGGAATTTAAGGGAGAAGGTACTAAATGGTGATGGAAGGAGAACTGACTTTGGGTGGAAAAAACAACACAATATTCAGATGATGTATTATGGAATTGTTGACTTGAAATATGCATAATTTTATTAATCAGTGTCACCCCAATAAATTCAATAAAAATTAAAAATAAATAAAAGGAATTAAAGGAAAAAAGTTCAGGAAAAAGAAGAATTCAATAACATTTCAAATATGCTTTATCTGATTTGCTATTTTCATATAAACAAACACTTATAAAGAGCTTGATTTTCAAATGTTATGTTTGCGAACTTTCTCATTCTATACAAAAAATATTTACATGAAAACTACTGATTTTATTTTTGGTTTCAAAATTATATCAAAGAAACAAAGAATACACTTTAAAAAAGTATCATATTAATTAAGAAGTACAGTAAATTCAACTTACAAACTGAAAAAGGGATCCTTTTAATGAATACTGAGACAAAATAACTCACTTGAAATTCTCAGAAAAGGTTTTAGTGCAGTTCAAGGTTTGGCTTGTGAAAGAACACAGAGCCCACAAAAGAATGAATCTGAAGATGATCACCTCTGCAGAAAAGAAGTTCTGAAACAGCTGTTTTTAATGGCAGGAAACTAAGGGAGCTTCTAAATCATTACAAGTCCCTTTCATTTCTTTAATTCTGCCTGTTCTGACAAAAACAACTTAATGCATCTTTATAATTTGCCCATCACATTAAAAAACTAGTTTTATGGTATTTTAAATTTGCTATTTCTGCTGAAACAAAGTAAGATAGTCTTCTCCCAAATTTATTTTCTTGTTTTTATGAAAAAGCGTTCTTTTACTTTATTTTAGAGCAGAGCATCTACAACCACTAGATGGCAGTCATCTACCAGGGACTACAAAAGTCATCACTAACTTTCAGAAAATTCAAGTGTAGAGAAATCTACAAAGTTCGCATATTTTAAAATAGTTTTGCTCCCTGAAGAATAAAACAATAATTTTGAAGCTCAATTTTCAGGTAAAGAAGAGCACAAACCTGTCTTGCCATTCCTATTCTGAAGCTTTATGTCTTTTAGAACCTGCTCCGTTTCCAAGACTGGTAAGTGTAAATGGAAAAAAAAAACAGACCCTACACAGAGATATGGTTCTAACTGCTTATCAAGACATAAAAGATCAATTAGGTTTCACTAACTGTTTGCATTTATAGTAATGGATCATATCTGACAGAAAAAAATACTAAATGATGGGTGAATAAGCATTTATTTTTTGAAGTAAAATTTTGTTTTAGCATTAGAAGTAGGTAAAATAACCTGAACGATAATTTTGAAAATATAAGTTAATGTCCATATAATCTTGATCAAAACTAATTTGTACAATAAGATTTTCCAGTGAGAAGAAAATGTTTTAAATTTAGTTTATAGAAAACTAAGACAAACTACTTAAATACATGTATTTAATTACCAAACAGCATAATTCAATTGCAAAAAAATCTTCCTCAAAAGTGCATGTACTCCAATAAATTAAAGTAGCTTCTCCACAAAAAGTTAAATTTAATAATTAATAAAGTTAATACAACATCAATATTTGTTAAAGCACGGCTTTTTAAACAGTTAGTTGGGAATACAGACCTCAAATGACTGCTCCAAAGTGAAGTTAATGGTACAAACACAAGGTGTCACATTTGGAGACAAACATTTATTGCATGGACTGGAAGGGTCTATTCCGGTATAATCAATCTGCAAGAGAAAAAAATAGAATTAAGCACTTTCCTAGAGAAAGTAGATGCACTCTAAAATCATTTGTTTTTAGAAGGGAAAGTGAGTCCAATGAAACAACCCCCAGCCCAGAAGAAAAAACTGTTTTTAAGGTCATCTGTTTATTTTGACACTGAGTAAAACCAAAAAGGTTCTTGTGTTATTCTGCTGGCTCATATTTCCAAGTAAATTCCTCTCCACTTTTTACTAAGAAAAATTCATTTATGCTTCAAAATCATAAAAATTCAAACTGTATGATGTATAAAGATTTGAACAGCTGTAACACTAGAAGACACAACTGCAGGCACCAGAACACAAGCCACCAGAATCCCTCATTGTTAATCCTATACACCATCCCTACATACTGTTAAGTGTAAATTACTATCTTGTACCCACCAGTGTAAAACAAAGATGAGTTTCTCCATTCTGCCATTTATCCAGCCTAGAGATTTCTCTGTCTTGCCTTCTCCCACCTCCTTCCTTAATCTACCACCAATGGATTTCATGTGACTTTCCTTATATTTTTTTTACTCTAAATGCAGAGAAGGAACTACAAAACTGCCATTCTCCTGAGCATTTTCTCAATCAGTTGAGATTTTGCTCCTAGGCATGTCCTCATATAAACTCTTATAAAACTTTTCTATAGGCTGGACATTCTTTCATTTACATAATTAAAAACCAGACTAATTAATACAGAGATCTGTAAAATCAGTTACTGCTCTTAAATCTTCTACTCTTTTTTTTTTATTTAATACTTTTAATTTTTCAATTACAGTTGATGTACAATGTTACATTTATTTCAGGTGTACAATCCAGTGATTAGACATTTATGTAACTTACAAAGTGATCACTCTGACAAATTTAGTGCACACCTGACACTATACATAGTTACTACATACAATATTACTGACTACATTCTCTATACTATACTTTACATCCCTCTAACTGTTCTGTAACTACCAATTTGTACTCTTTTTTTTTATTTTATTTTAATCATTGTTCAAATACAGTTTTCTCCTTTTTACTCCCAATCCAGACCCCCCTCCCACCCTCCCCACAAATCTTCTTCTCTTAAGTACTTTTCAGTAATCTCGGCTTTTGCAAATCTGAAAAAAAAAAAAACTACTAGGTTTCTCAAGGGCTGCCATTTTTTAAAAAATGTTTTTAAAAATTATTTTATTGTTGTCCAATTATAGTTGTCTGCATTTTCCCCCAAACACTCCACCCCACCCCAGCCAAACCTCCCTCCCTCCCTTGCTTCCATCCTCCCCTTGGTTTTGTCTGTTTGTCCTTTATAGCTGTCCCTGGTAACCCTTCCCCTCATTATCCCCTCCTACCTCCCCTCTGGTTACTGTCAAATTGTTCTTAATTTCTATGTCTCTGGTAATATTTTGCTTGCTTCTTTCTTTTGTTGATTATGTTCCAGTTAAAGGTGAGGTCATACGATATTTGTCCTTCACCACCTGGCTTATTTCACTTAGCATAATGCTCTCCAGTTCCATCCATGCTGTCACAAAGGGTAGGAGCTCCTTTCTCTCTGCTGTGTAGTATTCCATTGTGTAAATGTACCACAGTTTTTTGATCCACTCATTTACTGATGGACACTTGGGTTGCTTCCAGCACTTGCCTATTGTAAATTGTGCTGTTATGAACACTGGGGTGTGTAGGTTCTTTTGTATTGGTGTTTCAGGGTTCTTGGAATATAATCCCAACAGTGGAATTGCTGGGTCAAAAGGCAGTTCCGTTTTTAGTTTCATGAGGAAATTCCATATTGTTTTCCACGGTGGCTGCACCAGTCTGCATTCCCACCAACAATGCACTAAGGTTCCTTTTTCTCCACATCTTCACCAGCACTTGTTTGTTGATTTGTTTATGATGGTAATTCTGAACAGTGTGAAGTGGTATCTCACTGTGGTTTTAATTTGCATGTCTGATGGCTGGTAATGCTGAGCATCTTTTCATATGTCTTTGGACCCTCTGTGTGTCCTCCTTGGAGAAGTGTCTGTTCAAGTTCTTTGCCCATTTTTTAATTGTATTGCTTGTCTTCTTAGAGTGGAGTCGTGTGACTTCTTTGTATATTTTGGAGATTAAACCCTTGTCTGAGGTATCATTGGCAAATATGTTTTCCCATATAGTTGGTTCTCTTTTTGTTTTAATGCTGTTTTCTTTGGCCATACAGAAGCTTTTTAATTTGATGAGGTCCCATTTGTTTCTTTCCTTTATGTCCCTTGCTTTAGGGGATGTATCAGTGAAGATGTTGCTGTGTGGAATGTCTGAGATTTTCCTGCCAATGTTTTCCTCTAGGACTTTTATGGTGTCACGACTTATATTTAAGTCTTTTATCCACCTTGAAGTTATTTTTGTGTATGGTGTAAGTTGGTGATGGAGTTTCATTTTTTTGCATGTAGCTGTCCAGCTCTCCCAACACCATTTGTTGAAGAAGCTATTTTTACTCCATTTTATGCTTCTTCCCCCTTTGTCAAATATTAATTGACCATAGAGACTTGGGTTTATTTGGGGGCTCTCTATTCTGTTCCATTGATCTATGTGTTTGTTCTTATGCCATTACCAGGCTGTTTTGATAACAGTGGCCTTGTAATACAGTTTGATGTCAGGTACTGTGATCCCTCCTACTTTGTTCTTCTTTCTCAAAATTGCTGCAGCTATTTGGGATCATTTATGGTTCCATATAAATTTTTGAAATGTTTGTTCTATATCTGTGAAATAGGTCATCGGCACTTTAATAGGGATTGCACTGAATCTATGAATTGCTTTGGGTAGTATGGACATTTTGATGATGTTAATTCGTCCAATCCATGAACACAATATATGCTTCCATTTGTTTGGGTTTTCCTTAATTTCTTTCTTCAGTGTTGTGTAGTTTTCTGAGTACAGGTCTTTTACCTCCTTGGTTAGGTTTATTCCTAGGTACTTTACTTTTCTTGTTGCTGTATCTATGGGATTTTTTTCCTGATTTCTGTTTCTGATATGTCATTGTTGGTATACAAAAATAAAATGCCTTTGATTTCTGATTATTAACTTTGTATCCCGCTGTTTTGCCAAATTCCCTTATTAGGTCGAGTGGTTTTTTGGTGGAGTTTATAGAATTTTCTATGTACACTATTATGTCATCTGCAAACAATGACAGTTTTGCTTCCTCCTTTCCAATTTGGATGGCTTTTGTTTCTTCTTCTTGTCTGATGCTGTGGCTAGGACTTCCAATACCATGCTGAATAGGAGTGGGGAAAGTGGGCATCTCAAGGGTTGCCGTTTTTAAAAAACCTTGTATTGTGTAATGAAGAATTTGTCTTATCTTTGTCCTGGGTTCTAGGCACAGGTCCTCTAAAACTCTTGTAATTTCCTCAGTGACAGAAGTGTATTTGTTTTTTGTAAGCCCCTTGATTTGAGCTAGAGTTTGCTCTAGCAAGATGGTTCAGGATCAGGGCTTGTCACAGAAAAAAGACTAGATGTGATTAGAGACTTTGGCCCAGCCCAAGACCTGAGGAGAGAGGGAAGGTTGGGAATGTAGTCCAATCCTGTGGCTAGTGCTTCATCAATCATGCCTAAGTCATGAAATTCCAATAAACACTCTGGACACAGAAGCACAGGGGGACTTCCTAGTTGGTTAATCCGCTGACATGCCAGGAGAGTGATATGCCCTGCTTCCACAGGGAAAGGACACCAGGTTCTGCATTTAGGACCCTTCCAGACCTGCCCTATGTTTCTGCTCATTTAGCTGGTCCCAATTTATATTTTTGTAGTAACCTTAATCATAAGTATAGCATTTTCCTGAGTTCTGTGTCATTGTAGCAGATTATTAAACTTGACAGGGGTCACAGGAGTTGTATAGCCATTTGGTCAGAAGTGTAGGTGGTCTGAAGATCTCTGAACTTGCAACTGGTAACTGAAATGAGGGCAGTCATGTGAGGGGGGGATTAGGAACCCCCCAGATTTGTAAGCTAGTTGGTCAGAAGTGTGAATAGTCCGGAGTCCTGACTTGCAGCTGGTGTCTGAAGTTGGGGCAGTGTTATTGGGGACCATGCCTTTACCTATGGAATCTGATGATAACTCAGGATGATTAGTGTCAGAACTGAACTGAACTATACCAGTTCCTATAAGACAACCTGGCCAGATAGCTAAAATGACAGTCTTTGTTTACATTACAAAAATATTTAAAATAGATTTTATTTTTTAAAGCAGTTTTAAGTTCACAGCAAAACTGAGTGGAAAGCACATAATTCTCACATACTCCCTGCCTCCACACATGCACAACCTCCCAATTACCAACATCCTCCCCCCCCAGAGTGGCACATTTTTAACAATTAATGACCATACACTGACACATCACAATCACCCAAAGGCCACAGGTTACATTAAGACTCACTCTTTAAAAAAATTAAATAAATTTATGTTCAGACAGAGGGGAAAGGATGTGTGGGAGAAACACCAATTGGTTGCCTTCTGCATGCCCTCAACTGGAGACCTGGCCTGCAATCAGGCATATGCCCTGACTTAAACTGGTAACCTTTCAGTCCGCAGGCCGGCACTCAATCCACTGCGCCACACCAGCCAGGGCCATTAAGATTCATTCTTGATGTTCTACATACCATGGATTTTGACAAATTTATAATGACAGATATATACCATCATAGTATCATACAACAGTTTTATTGCCTTAAAAATCCTCTGTACTGTCCTGGCTGGCATGGCTCAGTGAACTGAGTGCCGGCCTGCAAACCAAAGGGTTGCTGATTCAATTCCCAGTCAGGGCATATGCCTGGGTTGCAGGCCAGGCCCCCAGTTGGGGACATACAAGAGGCAATCACACATTGATATCTCTCTTTCCCCCTCCCTTCCCCTCTCTCCAAAAATAAACAAAATATTTTTTTTAAATCCTCTGTACTCTGCCTATTCAACCCATCTTCTCTGTTAATGCTGAGAACACTAATATTTTTACTATTTCCATAGTTTTGCCTTTTCCA